GAGAGAGAGAGAGAGAGAGAGAGAGAGAGAGAGAGAGAGAGAGAGAGAAGGTGGGGCCCTTCTTATTTAATTAATTATTAAAATAAATATATTAGTATTAGATTTAAAAAGAAATGAAAGAAAAATGAAAAATAAAAAACTCAAGGGTATTACAGTCATTTCACTATTCAGATGGACCAAAAACGCAACGAAACTACCTCAAAAGGACCATCAATCAAAAAAAAGTCGTGGTTTGGACTAAAACCCCAAAAAAATGCATACCACATGGACCATTTTTGCAATTTTGTCTATAAATTATTATAACAAATCATTAGTAATAAAACGTGAACACGTAGGACGGATGAAATGGGTAAGAATGTGCATCAATATTTTTTTTTATTAGTTTTACAAATAATTAATATATTAAAATTGATAAAGATAACAATCCACTAAAAAATAGAATAGAACTTGGTATTTATATTCCTACCCTTGGAGCTTCATTTTATACACATTAATCCCATAATCAACTGCCACGTTTATTCGTTTTTGTTAGGTGGGATTACACAACATTAACTAACATTTAACACGATTAATTAATTAATCCATCTATAGGCTAATGCCAAGCAGAGACGACGGTAAGTGGCCGTCCCATCCACCCAAAGCTAATCCCACCGGAATCTTCTTTTACAGTGAAACCCAGGTTGCCACGTGTCCATGAATTCAGCTTTGACTTAAGCGACTCGGCGGTGAGTTGACTCACTGGTTTTGAATCAAACCCGGCCATCCTCAACCGGGCCCGCCATTTGCCGAACACTTCGCATCTTTCAACACGGTCCCTCCCTTCGCACGCAACCGAGTTAAAAATTCTCCGACTCAGTCCCTCCTCAATCTTGACTCGCTCTGGGTTGGTCCTTGGAATCGTCGCTTCTAACGAATTTAAAAAGGAGGTGTAATAACTAAACAAGTCGTTTACACGCGCCGTGAAGGAAGCGGTGTTCGCGTTCAGTTCCTGTTCCACTACCGTCACCACCGCCGGTGATAAGTCTTTCACCCGTCGGAGCACCTCGTCTCTCAGATTCTCAGTCGTCACGCTCTCGTCCGGCAACTTACTCAACTTGAAAGCGAAATTTACGGCCAAAACCTCCTCGTTTTCAATCGTTAAACCTTGCTTGTTGAGATCGGATAATTTGAAATCCAAAACATTATAATAAAACAAAACACCCAATTTGTTAGAAAGTGATCTGAGTCCATCACCAACAAGCTTCAGTCTTTCAAAACCCCAATTACCGAAATCTTTAAAAGTTGTGAGCTTTAACGAAATGGGAATCACTCCATCAATCTTACGCGCCGCGGCAATCTCGTGAAGTAAGTACACGTACTGAAGCCCATGACCAACATCAAAATCTACCACATGGATCCTTCTCTCGGGTCTACCCGAACCCAATAAAGCTTGCAGGATGACATTATTCGCCGCCATGAAAGCTATCTTGAAACACGGCGATTTGTCGTACAGCAATTGCGTTGACAAAATATGCTCTTTTCGGTACAACTCCGTGGCTGGGGAGGCCTGTTCCTCCGTCGTGGAGTTCACGCTCACGCGCGATCGGAGAGCAGACGCCATATGAAAACCCAAGCGTTGTTCAGGAGATCCACGCGCGTTGGAAAATTGGTTAATGCGCGTGATTAGCTCCATCGCAATCTCTGATTTCCCGTCTGTTATTGCGTCGGCGGCGTCTGATATGAACTGCTTCGGAGAAACTGTCGCTGACGACGATGCAGATGATGACGTGGACGACGTCGTTGGAGAAGGTGCAACGGTATTGTCTGGATTTTGTGCCTGAAGAGGACTCAGTAACTTCTGAATCGTTTCGGACCACTCGGTGTCTGTAATCACCGAAACAGCGTCGTGTTCTCCGTCGTCATCGTCTAACAAAAGCTCTTTCTCTAGTTCTTGTAAACGATTCAACATCTTTGTCTCCATTTCTTGATTCTTCGGCAGTTGTTTTGCAGGAGAGTAATCGTTAATCTGATAATTACTCATGACGCCGTTGAAGTTTGGCCGGAGTTGTTGAGGAATCTGACCACCGTATCTAGAAACAGACGACGAGGAGATACTAGAAACCGAAGAAACTTCCGGCGAAGATAAGAAATCCGTCTGTTGATTATACGCCCTTGGTTTCACGTTTCTCAAGTAAACCGCAGCTTGTTGCCGGAGCTGGTGTTGCTGTTGGAATTCTGCCAATGATCGCTTTCCAACAAAGTCAGATCGTGACCCACCGACCGGCGACAAGGAATCGGAGAGAATACCAGCTAACGGAGACCTGTAATTCACTTGCTGGTTGTAATTACTTCTGTTAACATTCATCATGGACATAGATCTTCCGGATACGTTGCTTACACCGCCTCCGTTCGCATTGAAGAAATCTGGAAACCCGCCGGAAAACCCAGACGACATTATCACCGGAGGTAAATGGAATGAAGCTAAAAGGAAAAGCTTTTATTTTTACGAGGAAAAAATATTCATGGAGGGGGAAATTCAAAAGGGGTTTCGTGAATTTGATCGAAAAGCAAAATTGGATCGATTCTTGTATTTGATCGTGAAGGTATGAGTATTGTTTGTTACAAGTGGCTTATAAAAAGCTTCCTTTTCTTGACGGGAGCCACGTATTACAATAAATATATTCTACACCATACGGTTGATTATTTAAATTATGAAATTCAATATAGACCGGTAATGTTTGATACACATAAATATTTACTGTTTAAAACTTATGATTTATAGTTCTGCATAATTAATACTATAAATCTGCATAGTTAATAGGTAGTATGTTGTGTGTCGTTCATCTGTAACGTCGTCACGGTCGAAGGTAATTAGAAATATAATTTAAGTTATTAAAATTGCGGTGCAGAAAAATAAAAAAAAATAAATCGTAAAACCCAAAAAAAATAAATGTCAGAGCGTTTGATAGAAATTCAATGATTTAGTGTTGAAATAAAGAGGGATAATTAGCTCTCGTAATATTTGATTATTACAGTGATATAATTCATAAAATTGTAATAATACTATATAAAGTGACACCATTCAAAAATCAGCTACACATAGAACTCTAGTTTAAACCCATAAACACACCAAATAGGATAAACTCATCATTGTAGACTTCAAATTCATATAAATCAATGATCTATGTTTGTCATCCTATGATTTTTAAATGATAATAAATATAATAAAAAATTATTAGTTTTTATTAAATATGACAAGTTTCTAAATCATGGTAGTGTTGCTATTTTCCTAGATTAAGTGGGTAATAAAAACAAATATGATTAATATCACTACAAAAAAATGTCAATTAGCGACGAAAACAAAATGGTCACTATCAATAGGAGTTGTCACTAAATGTTTTAGTGACCAAATTTTTAGTCGTCACTATAGGTCCGTCACAAAACTGATTAGTGACAAAAATATATAAATGGTCACTAAACAGTGACTAAAATATAATGGTCACTAAATTTGTGACGATCAGTTTCGTCACTAAATGTTGTCACTAATCAATGAAAGTCGTCACTGTTTTAGCTAATTAGTGACCATAAAAAGTCGTCACTGTCTTATCCAATTAGTGACCATAGAAAGTCGTCACTGGTTTATCCAATTAGTGACCATTGAAAGTCGTCACTGGTTCATTCGATTAATGACCATAAAAAGTCGTCACTGATTGATCCGATTAGTGACCATAAAAAGTCGTCACTGATTTATCCGATTAGTTACCAATAAAACTCGTCACCGATTTTTGTTGCTAGTTCGATTATTTAACCCATTTAAGTAACCTTAAACGAACCTACAATCTACAAAGACTGAAATGGGCTAAAAACATCATATATTCACCTTTGAACAAATTTAGGACCACCAAAACAGATTTCCAAAAACAGTAAGTACTCCAATTCTAACTGGCTTACTCATTTTATAAACTGTACACAAATAATAGTTGTTACAAAAGAATGTGATATAGATTGTTATCAAGCCTTGTTAGAGGGAGGCCTTGTGAGTTATTTTACTAGTCAAACCAACAACTCTGACTAGCTTCCTCTAAGGCCTTTTTAACTGACTTTTACATCTCTAACTGCTTATGTGCCTACAAAACAATGACATCATTTAGGTTTGTTCGTTTAATGAGAAGGCCTTTATTGTCTTTCGAACATGAAAGGGTGAGGGTGGGTGTTACCTCGATTTTTGCTTGATAAGATGCAAATAAAGTGAGTTGCTCTGAAGTCTTTTCAGCCATTATAACTTCTGGTTATGCAGCTTTTTCTAGTGAAATCTTTTCTCCTTCATAACCAGTATTTTGGCCATCATCAATTTTGAAACTTTTAACCCCTTTTTGAAACTCATACATAACACCCTCTACAATGCTGGAACATCTACAAAATAGCCAAATATTAATATCTTTTTGTTTATTATTTATTTAACAAAAAACCATACAAGTATTACCTGTAGTCATACAATTGCACCCTTTTACTTTCCATCCTCTCTGATGTCACCACAAAGCCCCCATCACAAATGCATATCAATGTATCATACCAACGAATTGGCAGTTGTCACAAGAGTATATTTTATAAGCTTCAAAATACACTTCCCTGTATAAAACATGGTATATACATGTAACTCCAACTGAAGTGTTGGGAACTACACCTTTCATGTAATCGTAAAGTTACCAAATTTGCTTCAATGGTAGATCCATTTTCAAGTTTAACATAAGGACCAGAGTCCAAGCTTTTCATAGAGGCACCCTGCAAATGAAACATCATGTCAACAAAAGATTTAAGCTCCACATTATGTTGAAGACCATTTGTATATCTTGGTAGAGTTCTTCATATTTTTGGGTCAGTGAATAAGTGAACAGCCTTCGTAGAAGATGATTTTCTGGAAAGATGATTTATAAAAGTCTAATGGCCATATATATTATCAACTCTAAAATTGAAAAGTAACAAGTTGAAACCCTAATTTATAGTGTAACTATCCCTATTTATTTCCTAAATCGAAAATAAAGATGATAGAAAGATCAATACCTCAACAAAGTTAGTGAATTTAGGATCTCTGTTTACGACTAATCGATGAACCTAAACACACAAAAAGAGAATCAAAATCCAAATTTTATTTTTTGTTATCTAGGGTTACCTCGTGCTCCTCGGATGGATGTAGAAGGGCCAAGGGCTGAACCAGCAAAAGCCAATTGGATGCCAAAGATGTGTTCAGAAGATCTAAAGTGTAAGAAATCTAAAGAAACAAAAACAAAATAAATCCAAAATTAAAGTAAGCAATAAACGTTCACAAGAAAAATAAATCTAAATGTTCACTTACCTTCAACTTTTATTGCAGCTGTAAAAAACATAATTTTTACTAATATTCCTATCATACCCTTCAGCTTAAACCAAAGAATAATAATAGTTGTATATGAGGGGTATCTTACCCTTCATCTTAAAATGTAGTTTCCTGATCAACGATGATAGATAGGAAGGAGTATTATCTGTTAAGTGTAAAAAAATATTCTTAGTAGCCAAAAGATCGTAGTTTTCTTAGTCCCTAGCTCTCTAATGAGTTTTCACACTAAAACAAGAAGCCATAAATTATCCATTGGTGACGGAAAGCTACAAAGTATAAACTATACTTGTGGGATGTCAGCAAAGTCAGAAATTAATATGTTAGTTGATAATGATAGTATGCAACTCCTTATTTCAAAACAGAAAATGAATGAAAAATTACCTGCATGGTAAGTGGAAAATCATCTTGAATGCCGGGAGGAAAGAAAAGGTTTGCTCGCTTCTTAGTGACTGAGGGCTTTCCTTCATGTATAGAAACAAGAAGCATTAACTTTTAGAAATAAGAAACCCCAAATGAATGAAAATGAAAACAGTATGTTAAGAGAATAAACCTGGTTAAGCACCAAGCTTAAATACATGAAGCTTGAAGTAACTTGTCCAACATTAGAGCTTTTTGTTGCAAAAGAAATAAGAATTGAAGGATTCTCATTGCCAGTAACCTGTTGAAGGCATATATATATATATATATATATATATATGTGTGTGTGTGTGTGTGTGTGACTGTTACCAATGTTCTTAGATGGAAGGCAACAAAAAAGAACCCATTTTAACAATGGTCTTAACAGAAGGGGAAACATTTGTACTTTGAAAGAGACAAATGATGCTGCATGTGCTTCAAGAGCTTGACTTCACTGCTGATCAATTGAAAAAACCTATGTTTCCTTTTACTAGCTGAAAATCTGCTCAAATCAGAATGAATGGAGAGTATTATTAAAACTTAGAAATTTACCATAGGTGGTGCTATTGCTAATATGCTACACTAACAAATAAACAAATACAAACCACTGGTGAGCAGGGGCAATTCCAATCAACCATTTCTCAGATGGATCACATCTATGGTTGATTATCTGATTGTTTGATAGATTAGCTGTTCTTTCAAACATCTTTGTAGGTTCAAACATCTATAGCATGTGACAGTGGTAATATATGAACACATTTAACAAGTTAAATGGTCAAATGTGTACAAAAAAAGTTGTCTAAATGTAAACAAATTTTTTTAATAAATTTATTTAGATTTTTTATAATTTTTAACAATATTTTAATGATATTTTTTTGTATACGTTTTTCTAATACAATGTTTTAAACTTTGCTTATAAATTTTTTAAAACTTTTATTAAACTTTCATATAATTTTAATACAAGTGCTTTTAAAACAAATATTTTATTAATGTTTTAAATTTTTCTTACATGTTTTAACTTTTTTCTTTTACATTTTCATACAATTTTTCTATAACTTTCATAGAGTTATTTCTAAAATTTCTTTTACAATATTTTTAACGTGTTTCATAGATTTTGTATGACAATTTAATATTTTTTATAACATTTTAAAATACTTTCGTTAAATACTAGTTTAAAACGTTGTATTAAAAAAATTAAAAGTTTATAAACTTTTGATTAAAAAGTATTAAAAAGGTGTAATAATTTTAAAACATTTATACCATATAGATTTTTTTTGTTTTTTATTTGCTAAGTAATATTTTCTTTTATTTTTTTTTTAAAAGACTCTTCATACTTATTGTTACCTATTTAATTTATTTAATTTTATTGTTAGATACTATTTATTTTAAAAATATTGTATATGCTTAAAAACAAAAGAAAAAAAAATAAGAGGCTATATAAAATATTTCACAACATAAAAACATATTTATTAATTAAAAAAATAAGTTTAGTTGATCAATATTTAATTAATATTTAGGAAATTATTGATATTTTAAAAATAACATTTGAAAAAAAAATAATACAAACAAATATGAAAAATAAAATCACTATTAAAGTGGGGAAAATGACTTATCAGAGTAATTAATTTTTCATTTTGTTCATATTTATGCAACTTTTTTTTTTTTGTATATATTTGACCATTTAACTTGTTAATATGTTCACATATTACCATTGTCACATGCTATAGCCGGTGACAATGGTAATATGTGAACACATATAACAAGTTAAATGGTTAAATGTATACATAAATAAAGAAGTTGCTTAAATGAGAACAAAACGACAAAGATGATTATCATGGTAAGTCATTTTCCCATAAAGAAATCAAGAGCGTATTTTAAGAAAGGTGGAGCTTGTAACATCTTAAATTTGGGTGATCATCTCCCCATAAACATCATTTATCAAAAGTCAAGATAAAATTAATTATTTATAACTAGTTTTTTTTCGAAAAACAATGCAGTTTTAACCAATAAAAATATTTGAATAACTAAGTAGGGTGTCAATATGGTAAAATTGAGTGTTTTTTTAGCAACCCCCATTATTATCATTTTAACATCAAAACTCGATGATGCTTTTTGCCCTAGAAGAGTAATATCAAAATTCATATCTTAATAGATGATGGTATGTATGTTAGTAATTTTTGAATTTTGACGATGTAGAGCTTCCTGCTACTAGCCTACCACTCATCCCAAGACGATACATGCTACAACCTATATCAAATTCGAGAATGATAAATATTTTTTTTTAATTCAGATAACTTTTATAGAACGCAATAGATTCATACCATATAAATATATGGACTAAATTACAAAAATAGTTCCATTTTTGGACGTTAATTTCTTTACCCTGAAGTTGCACACCTGCAAGTGTTAAAAAAACACGAGTACAAAATGGTAAACTGCACATTTTGAGCAGTCTACTTCAACCCGTCCCAAAGCCTACGTAGGAGGATAATCGTGCAACACTAGCAATATTTTGGATGTGCAATCGTTTAAACTTTGAATCTACTGTGTGGAAATCCACTCCACAATCATTAGGATTCCATCGCGGTGACAATAAACACATGAGTAAATTCCATGATATTTGGCTATTATTAAGGGTTGTTCCACATGAATAACTCATAAAGCCTTGAGTTTGTAGCACCATTAGATGTTTAAAGCACTCAATTTTACTATAATGGGTAATAGTAATGATAACAAAACAGAGAGTTGTGAGATGGTTTGCCACTTCAAATCCTCAAAAATTTAATCCTATCTTGATCTCATGTTCGTCATCTCCTTCAATTCCTGCCAAACAAAATAAATTCGTCTAAATAAACTTTAACATAAACGAATACGAGGAACTAAATGATAAGAAACGAGAAATAAAGGAGAAATGCATGGTTGTTAAGAGAGGATTCGATGTACGGATGAGAGGATGACGTTCGAGCATACATATAAGGTTAGGACTAAACCTCCTTTTCTTTTTAAAACTGATTCATAGTGGTGGGAGGCGTCGGTGGCTGCATGGAATGAGGAGGAGGCCAGTGGTTGTAGGGAAGGAGGATAAAGTGACAATGACTCGAGTGGGTATCGGTGCTAGGCGATGTTCTTATGAAAAATGAAAGAAAATGGAAGGTGATGGTTTATTAAGGGTACTGGTGGAAGTCTTGGAACAATGAATGATTTAGAATGGTTAGCATCACGACGTTTCAGAAGGTCACTCAAAGGTGTTGAATCAGTAAGAGGAAAAATGTGTATATTAAACATCTTTGATGTTGAACCATTAAGATGTTGCATATTAATGGTATCATTAAAAGACTTGCCAAACATCCCGTTAAACAGAAACTCCTTAAACTATATAAATTCTTATTTAATTTAATAGTTAAAGTTTGGTGCATTGCCTCCGTCAAATGGTTGTTTCATATGGTTGTTTAATACTCTAGTCATTTGTTTCGTATGTTTTATATTTATTTTAGAACGGTGAAATATACTTTATAATCTACTCTTATATTTTGCTTATGTTCTGAATAAGATTTTAAATCCTAAGCACTTAAGTTGATTGACATTGTATCTACACTATATCAAATATAGTTAAACTATAATTTCAACCAATACAACAATAAATGAATCTATAAAAATACTAAAACTTAACACGATAAAAATGTAAATATTGTTGCTTTTCCATAAACAATAATTTACTAATTTATTTAACTAAACGAACTTCTTAAGTACTTAGGCTTGAGGAAGTGGTGTTGGTTATGTTGAGCTCCACTTCTCCCCTAAAAGCCTCCCACCTCACCATCTTCATCTTTGCATCTTGGTAGCCAACATGTCGAGCACACATTTTTTGAGGTGTTCGCCGAGCTCGAGGGTTAGTGTTCTTCTCGTCATGTCGTGGCCATCAAGGACGTCAAGCACCTTTGCCATTCCCACTCTCACAACCTTATTTATAGGTTCCAAAATATTCTAACATATATATCTATATATATATATATATATATATATATACACACACACACACACACACACACACATTTCTACGATAAAATTGGTATATCGCAACTTAATTATCGGGAAATCTTGATGGAATTTTCTATATTTCAGGCTTGTACTCCAGCCATGGTGATTGGCTCGGGTGCAACTTCTACTACAACAGGTATTTGCTGAATCAC